ACAACCACTGAAATAAATTTCCTTACTGCCCTGCCGACAGCTACATGCACAGGAGGCCAACTTAACAATTGGCCGCTTTGTCTCATAATAACCTCTAGTAGCCATAGAGATAGCAAGTTCTTAAACAAGGGCACAGAGAAGTGATCCCAGTCGGTCAGCCAAAGCAACCATTTTTTAAAGCTATGATTATACTCCATAATTTCCTGCTATCAGTTAGGCCATGAACTCAATAGGTAAACATTATTTTAATTCCTGGTATGATCTAAGAGCACAATAAAGATGTTTTTTTTTTTTCTCCAGTAGATCCTTAGGAAGTCAATCGATTGCTGTTATCACTTTTGCTATTTCATTTTAGGAAGACCACAGAAACCACTTCAGGCAGATGTATTTCTGGCTTTTCCTTAAGTTACTGAGAAGCTTAGACCTTCTAATTCTGTCTAACAAATGAGAATATTTGCTCAAAATCCTCTAGAAGACTTCTTCAGGCCCATGAATATATTCTCAACTCTCCCGAAATAATTTCAAGATAAAAATAACTTTCTTTGCTAAAGCTCGTAGGACCATGAGTTCCATTTTTTCCAGTATTTTGCATAATTTCATGGATCTCTAGTAATAACTTAAAATAGTAAAAAGAGATAAAAAAAGTAGACATGGCTGTCTAAAAAAGATTTGACAGAGGTCAGTTAAGATTAAATCATAGTTTTCACATGCTAAATTTCTATTTATAAAGTTTTGACATGGTTGTCTACAAGACAGAGTTCTGTACATTATGTCTTGGGTATTCACTTCAAACTCCAGATCTTTTTCTTCCACAATTTAGAAAGTCAATAGTCTTCAATGTTTTGTATTAAGTTATCTTTATTTTATTATTGATAATTATGTCTCTCATGTACCCATATGTAATTTTTTATATCACATTGTAAATTTATCAGGGTAATTTTGAATTATATTTGCCCAATTTTTAATTTCAACAATTTCATAGAAGAAACTAAATAGTAAATAAGCTCTCACAATGAATGATGCCCATATAAAATCATTAATTACCAGATATCTCTCCAAATTGGTACTAATCCAATTCTTGGGCCTACTGAAAGTGCTTCAAATAAATTACCAGCCTAAGGATACTATTCCATCAGAGATGATAAGTCAAATTTTATTTTCTTTCTATAGGATGGAGGAAGAAGGAGGAGAGTGCCCAGTATGACTTCTTTCAGAACCTCAAGAGTTCCCAGAGAAAAGGATCACCTTATGCCACAATACTGTAATCCTGAGAAGGTGTCCTTTAATCAAAACTGACAGAAAACTAAGGAAAAATCAGAAGTCATATATTTGAAAGAAACTAGGACAGGAAAGTTATTCAGTCTATTCGATCCTTTGGAAAAGCAGAAGTAAAGATCATTTTACTTTGGGGATATCTGATTATTTGATCTCCTGCCATTGGTCTTGCTAGAAGGCCCTGGCTTTTTTTTTTTTTTTTGATTCAGCCTCCATATGAGCAGGTCAAGGTGATTTGCCAATCCCTGAGTGAATGGGAACTAACTACATGGTCAAGAAGTTGCCCTTTACACACTCTCCCAATAAATACCATCTCTTGTATAAAGAGAATGGATATAAAGAGACTGATGAAAATTCATCAATGCCACTAGAAAAATCTGCATGAGTATTCGACCTCTTAGCAGACCTACAGGAAGGACAATTTTCATTTGTGAAGAATGCCAGGCTAGGGTAAGAAACCAGCCCCTGCTACTTACTAGCTCCACGTGTGAACTTGGAGAAATGTAATCTTTCAGAGCCTTAGAGGTAAAAGACATTGAGGGCATCAAGACTAGCTTGAAAGTAAAGGGATGTAGAAAGGAAATTAGACCCATTACCATCCCCTTCCAGGGAAAATGCCTGGAAGTGCGTGCAAAACTTCAGCACGGAGCCAGGTCAACCTCGGCTCCAATCCTGTCTCCACAGCACACCAATTGTCAGACACTTGACTTGGGCCAGTTTCATCTTTCTGCTGGAGCTGAGGGAGTGAATGGAAGCATTCCTGTAGCACACAGCACACAGCCAATATCAATAAATAGCAGCTGGATTTTTGTGCACTTGTTAATACGAAGAGACACTATCATTACTATCTGTTCATCAACGTTTCTCAGAGTGCAGCCAAAGAACAGAACAACACAAGGAAGGGGGATATCTATTCAATCAAACCCAAACCAACCTATTAAAAAAGTCAAGTTTTTATTCATTTCTGATAATCATTTCTGAAACACACCACTGAAATACATACCAAATTCTGATCCAGGGGGTCCAGTGCTACATCATAGTCAATTAAGATGATTTCTACTACTCATTCTTTACTATGTCTGGAAGATTACCCAGGTGTATGGTTTGTTTTTAATTTGGGCATTTTCCTGGACCCAGGCATTAGACTCACAAACTCACTCCTATTACTGTTTTCCCACTGACACTATTTTGACTCTCTGCCTCCACAAGGGGACAGAAAACCATGACTCAATTACTGACCAACCTTCTAAGAAATATGTGTTTAAAGGCCCATGATTATTTTTCTTTGAAAAAAAGAAAAGAAAAGGCAGTACAATGGAGACCAAATGTTGTTCACGAAGTCGAGATATTGTGTGGGTCTTTACTATGATGTCTGCCCACTGGTAACTTACACTTGTTTTTTAAACTGGGGGGATGAGGCCAGTGGGAGGAGAAGCCCATAATGTTCAACACAAACCACTTTAAAAAAAAGTAAGAGAATTGGGGTCAGACAGATAGTACAGTAAGTAGGGTGCTTGCATTGGATGCAGTGGACCCAGGTTTGACCCCCAATACCCCATATGGTAGTGAGCACTGAGTACTTGAGCTCTGCCAGGAGCAATTCCTGAGCACAGAGCCAGGAATAAGCCATGAGCTCTTCTGGGTATGGCCCAAAGGCAAAAACAAAATCCCAAAACTGATTATAATTTTTAAAAGCTCCCATTTTCTATTCAATCAGTAGGAAGTTACACGTGCATATGGATATTGGATAATGATCAAATTATATATTTGGTTACAGTAAAAAAAGTTGTAAAGTCTGTAGGAGAACAGCTGGGGAATAAATAGTACAATTGGTTTACAAAAAAAGTAATTATTAAAGCTTACACTGAGTAATTTCTGCAATAAAAGTGCATTGGAGAATAGAAAATGACATAAATGACCCCTGCTGTTTAGAAGCAATCAGCTTCATTCCATCATTGCAAAAAAGGAAATAAAATCTGTTCTGTGTATAATACACATTGTTGAAAGAAGAAAATGGAATCAGCGATGCAAAGCACTTCAAAAGCATATTAACAAAATGTCTGAGTTCTATTAACAACATATTATACTGAACATACAGAGATTCTTTGCCAGGTCTCTTAGTTTCTCATTTGTCTCTCAGTTATCCAGTTTGGGGAATGAGTATTTTTTCCCGTGTGTGTGTGTGTGTGTGTGTGCGTGTGTGTGTATGTGTGTGTGCGCATGCCCACACACAGTGACATAATATAAAAAGTATTAGAGACCTCTCCCATTTTTATGTCATCCATTATTGGCTTGTCCTTCCTCATCTGTTTGAAATACATTTTCTTTTATCCTTTTATACGAAGTAAGCACAGTATTTGATTAAATTCTGGAACAGAAAAGAAACAAACCCTTAGACTACTTTCTCTCAGGACACAGGTAGGAGTCCAGAATTACCATTTTTGAAGTAACAATTTTTTCTTTCTATCTTTGTCTCTGAGCACCCATTTCCAGGATTTTCTGGGGATTGTCTCAGACAAAATAAAAAGAGACAGGTTTTATAACACGTTTCAACAACCCTGCACAGAAACACCTTCACTGGAACATTTGTGAGAAAATGACACCTTCAGACGTTTTCATTTTATAAAACCACTGTGGACGCACGAATCAAACGCAGTATAAATCAAAACCGGGGCAATGCCCATTGCCTACCTGTCTCACATCACAATGAGAATACCTTACTTGTACATTTGCACACCACGCTATTTTAATTTAGCTGTCATACAGATGGAATTTAGGTTAGTCGTGTAAATACAGGAGGGTGTGAGTGTGTGTGCGTGTTAAAGAGGGTTGTAAGCAGAAGGGGTGGGACTTAGCAGCGATTTGAGAAAATTCCTTTTTTCTTTCCCATTCATTCTTTCTAGCTCCAATGCCTGGCACAGTCCTTACAATTACTCACTGGCTTCTCATTCTAAAGACAACCAACAAGCTTTCAGAACTTCCTACAGTGTTTTTCACACACATCCCCCCACCCCCCACCAAGGCACCAAATCATTCAATATTTGTCTTAAACAAAAAGCAAACCCATTAGCCCCGTTTTCTCCTTCCAAAGACACCCACTTCACCGTGGGATGGGAGAAGGGGACTGGCTAAACAGAATCCTTTGTTGAATGCCCCAAAATATCACCACACGGTATCGGTAAATTGGAAGGCAGATTTACTCTGTTTCCAGGAACGCCAAAGATATTGTCATCAGCCCTGTTCCGCCCTAGTGAGCCCAATTTCATGCTTCCTTTTAGAGAAATTTGCATCAAGACAAGAGTGAAGCCAATGCAATCGAATATTCCTTGTCTTAGCTCTCCGGACGCCCTACTAACAGGCTGAAAGAGGGCGCCCAGTGGTGGCAGTTACCATAGGCACGAAGCAGCGCCCATCCCCGGGAAAGTTGTCCATCAGGTGCCCACCCCGAAGGGGCAGTCCTCCGCCTGCCAGCCTGGACCTCGAGATTGGGGAGGGGGGGAGGAGGAGCGGTAATGGGCAAGGAGAACGTCGCAGCTTCCCAGGGACCTGGCGGAGGGTGGGGGGGAGGGCTCGACAGGAGAGCAGAGGAGGCAGGTGGGCGAGTGGGAGAGCCAGAAATGGACGCAAAGCGGGTAGGCGAGACGGGAAGGTGGGGGAGCAAAGCTGCAAAAGGGGGGACACGAGCGGGGGCGTGGGGGTGGGGGAAGGGATCCTGGGGTCCTCACCGTTGAACGCCCCGGCATCTGGAACCGCCGCCGGCTCCTCCTCCTCCTCCCCGTTCTCCGAGTCGGTGTGCGCCGGCTCCTCGGCGAAGTTGACCCCCTTGCTGGGGGTGCCGCCCCCGACGGCGTCCCCCCAGGTCCTGCCCTCCGGGCCGAAGCGCGCGTTCTCCTGCTGCAGGCGCGTGAAGTGCTGCAGCGCGAACTCCAGCAGGTCCGCGGGCTGATGCCGGAGCACCTCCACCGTGAAGCCCTGCAGCAGCTCCGTCAGTCCCGCGGGGATCTCGATGCTCATCCTGCCTCCTGGGCCGGCGGGGCGGCCTCGCACCCCCCTCCCCCGTTTCCTTCTTTTTCTTCTTTTCTTTTTTGGTTTTTTGTTGTTGTTGTTGTTTTGCCCGGGTCCGGCCTAGGGGACCCCCCACCCCCACCCACCACTCTCGCGCCCCGCGGGCCGCCCTGGCAGCGAGCGTTCCGAGTGCGCTGGTGGCGCTACCGGCTGCGAGCGCGGCGCACTGGGCCCCGGCTGGCCCGGCCCGCGGCTCCCGGCGCGCGGCGGCGGCGGCGGCGGCGGCACAGCGAGCGCGGCCCGGGGAGGGCTGGCAGCATCTCCGGCTCCTCCCGCTCCCGCCGCGGTCCCCGCTCTCCCCCGCGCGGGCCGCCCCGCCCCCGCCGCGCGCGCCCACGTGACGCGCGGAAACCATGGCAACCTCCGCCGGCGGCGCCCCGCACCCGCCGCTCCGAGGGTGGCCCGGAGCGGGGCTCGCCTGCCCAAGGCCCCGGGGGACCCCCTCCCACCCACCCTAGCTCACGCTCCCCCTTTGGAAGGAGGAGGGGGGCGTCTCCCGCTCCCCTGCGACCCCAGCGCGCCTCGCCATCCACCTGTCCGGGCCGCTGCACCGAATTCCCACACGTCATTCACCGCGGGGAGCCCCAGCCCAGCTGCTGCCACGCGGTTGGCCCTGAAACTTCAGGCTTCACCTCGGTAGCGGATTTTTTTTTTTTCTCCCTCGGAGAATCTAGTGTTGCTAAGTGGTGTCGGTCATGTGCTTAAAGTCGTTATGATGGTAGTGGGTCTCTTCTGGACAAAGAAATAATAGCCGCCCCCCCCCCCCCCGCTCCCCGTCTTTGGAACACCTTTTTCTTTGATCACGTTTTATGCAGCCTTTCTCCATTCACCGTGTTTTTGTTTTTTTTTTGCTGTACTGACAAGTAGTCCATTGTTCCCTCCATGCATCCACCGCTGTTTATTGAGACAAATGCGTCATTTATTGCGAAACACTTATCCAAATGAGTCCATGCCCTTCAAAGAGGATAGTGGAGGAATTTAAATAAAATGGCAGAGCCAGGAGTAATGGTCCTAAAAGAAGCGTGTGTGTGTGTGTGTGTATATATATATATATATATATATATATATATATGCTTTGCCTGTGTAAGCGTTCGATGTTTATTACAGAACTTCCCCTTCCTTTAGGTTTTGAGTGTTCTGGAATGATCTCCAAAAATGGGATGCTGCAATATAACGAATGATAGATGTGCTTTTAAAGAAGAAACCTTGACATTAACTTTGAAATGAGACTATTTCTGAAATTGCACAATTTTTGAATTAGAAAGTTATCTTTTGCCTACTAGTGCTCCCTGAAAACACATCCTTCATTTTCAACGATGATTGCCATAGCATTGTAAATAAAATATTTCAAGAGCAAGAACATTTAGTTATTCCAAGTAATCATTTCGGGATGGAGGAAACCCAAAGATTAGAAATATAAAAAGCCAGTCCCTTTCATGAAAATACCCCTCCATATTAACCCATTGTTTACAATCCAATAAGCATTCACTCTGTGAGTGAATATCTCTGATTCCACCTCTTATCACTCTCACAATAGCATACTGTTTTTAGTAGCATAGTTTTAATTGTAAGAATCAAGCATCTTGAGGTGTACGCTTTTATAAAATACTGTGCCCCAGGCAGGAGAGACAGTGCAGTGAATCTGGTGCTTACCTCGCACTTGGCTAACCTAGGATCCATCCTCAGCACCATATATAAGACCCCCTCCCCACATCATCGCCAGGAGTGATCCTGAATACAGAGCCTGGAGTAAGCCCTGAGCATGCCAGGTGTGAATGCAAAACAAAAAATAAAATAAACATCTGTTTTTCAAGAAAAACATGCTGTGCTCCCCACTACATGGAGTGCAATATTAGCCTAACTTAACGCAGATAAGCATTACAATTTTTATAGACATGCTAGATACCATAGAGAATCGAGGAAAGATTTGCATCCTCTTTCTTCTTTTGTGGTAATGTCTTACTAAGATGATCTTTGTTCCCATATGTCAAAGGAATGCAAGGTGGTCTAAAGAACATAGTTTATATCTCTGTGAAATCAGCAGAGGCAATTCGGAGCTGGTCTTCTGTGATTATCAGGGATCCAGGTTTTTTCCATCTTCTTCCTCTAATCCTCAGCTTGTCACAGATTACTGTTCAGTGTAATTTATATTTAGATAACTTAATTTATATTTCATCCAAAAGGAAAGTAGAAAGAAGAGCAACCTGCCCCACCCACCTATTGTCTCCTTCTAAAGAAACTTCCAGGAAGTGATATATAAACTCCTCATATATCATCTGAGCAAGATTACAATTTACAAAAGCTAGGACAAAAAAATATCTCCCATCCCATGTGATCTTTGACAGTGTGACATGGTCACCCTGCACCCGAGTCCCATCAAGTATTGATGCCTTAATTCTTTTGACTCTGGATATACTTGGGACAGCTTTGATAGAAGCTGAGCCAGCAGGATTGAGCACCCCGTTCCCATTCCTGACCCACAGAATCCGTGAGCACAATGAAAGAAGGTGAAGGCTAAATACAGGGCTAATTTGCTACACAGCGGTAGTAACTGAAGCACACACCTAGAGGGAAAATTCAGTAGTGTTAATCTCTATTTTGAACAGTCATGTACCAAGCAGACATTTGGAAAATAAGGAGAACCAGTTCTGAAACAATTAGCTGCCTGTCGCAGTGTTTAGCACTTTCCCCCAGGAATGAGAAAAGTTGTACGCATTTACAAAGGCCGTATTTCAAAGTAGCAGCAGACAAATAAATTTATTCTTTTTGTAAATATGAAGTGGTGTGGTGGAGGGGGAAGTTGGACCACACCCACTGGTGCTTTGAGACTACTTTGTTCTTCGGAGTGACCCTAACAGGGCTGGGGGCACCATATGCAGTACTAGGAATCCAGCTACAAGCAAGGCCAGTACCTTAACCTAGCTCCCTGACTCCCTTTTGTAGATTTATTATAAAGCATGGTAGATGATTCTCTATTATTAAATAGTGTCAGGATCTATTTGAGTTCATTTCTTTTGTTTGTATTTTGGGGCAACATCCAGTGATGTTCAAGGGATAATTCAGGTTGACCATGCTCAAGGCAAGTGTCCTACCCACTATACTATTGCACAGGCCCCTGTTGAATATCATTTCTTTAGTATAAGGAATATAGTTTAGAAATACAGAGGAGGGCTGAAGAGATAAGACAGGAGGTGAGGAGCTTGCTTGTACACAGCAATCCCAGGTTCTATACCCTGGCATCTCTGCATATGGTTCCATATGGTTCCCCAAGCACCACCAGAAGTGACCCCTGAGCACAGACGTAGGAGTAATCCCTGAGCATAGCAGAGTGTACTCTCCTCCCCCTTGATAAAAATAAAAAGAAATATTGAAAAAAAGATTCAATTCATTGAAGTGAATCAGGCATGAAGTGAATAATTGGATTAGGTGACCTGTGTGGTTTCTGCCATCTTAAAGTATTCTGCAGTTATACAGTATGGAAAAAAAAAGTGACCCCACCCATTGGATTTAAAATATCTCCATAAACAATTTTTACTTGTATCAATTCTTCAGTCACTGTGACCTGAAAAGTAAGCTTGATCCTGATGTTTGTATTATGTTAATATTGTTCTCAGAATAAACATCCAAGTTTCAATTATATTATTGCTTTAATTTGCTGCCACATAATTTTTTGATGATAATGTATCATTGCCTTTGCTTTTGTTTTCAAACCTGTTTATTTTTAAAATCAGAGTGTAGAACAGTGACTTGTAAATACTCTGTCTTTGAGTTCTTTCAAAGCACTGATTGATATTGATTCTAAAAGTAGTTTTGGAAAGCTGAAAAGATTCTCAAAAAAATAATAGATATAGAATCTAAAAAGAATAACAGAAAGTATGTCCTTAAAATCATATTTAATAAATAGAATATGAGTTCTGATTAGGGACAAGCCTGGACCACACATTTATCTGTTTTCTAAATTTCTGCTAAAGAATGATAAAAGGGGCTAAAGAGATAGTACAATGGGTAGGGCACTTGCCTTGCATGAAGCTGACCCACGTTCAATCTCTGGCACCGCATATAGTCCTCAGGCCTCATCAGGAGTGATCCCTGGGCACATAGCTAGGAATAAACCTGAATACAGATGTATGTTGCCAAAAAAATAATATTGATGAAAGATATATGGCAAACAAAAATTGAAGGACATGGTGATAGCTCAGTGGTAGAACACAGAGATAGAAGTATGAGACTGTGTGAGTTCCAGTCCCGGTACCACGCCACATGCCAAGGGTAATCTTGGTGCCAGGCCATTCGTGATCCCACCTCACAACTAAAGTGTGAGGCTCCTGGCAAACACTACAACCAAGGGTATTCAACCCTCTGTCATTGGGAAGAGAAGGGCTGGAGGGGGGAATAATTATATGTTCATAAAGACCAAAGAGTGAGAGAAACCTTATAACCTTTAACATTAGTAAAATATACCCTTAATTTTTAATGAAGGAAGGGAATCCTAATACATTCCACATCATGGATGAACCCTTGAGTCATTCTGTTAAGTGAAACACACCAGTCAAATGGACAGTCTATGTTCCACTTATATATGGTGTCTGGAGTAGGCTAAATTCATAGAAACAGAAAGTGGAACTGCAGCTGCCAGGCGTGGAGGGGAGGGCCAAGCTAGCAGTTGTTCAATGGGGAACAAGGTTTAGTGTTGCAAGAAGAAAAACGTTCAAGGGTTGTTGCTCAACAGTGTGAATATTCTTAACCCTGCTGAACTGTGCACTTCAAAAAGGCTAAGATGGCAGGTTTCATTTACAGTATATCACCACAGAAACTTTAACTTTAAAAAAACCTCAGAACAGAAGAAACAACCTATGAGAATTCTCTACTAGAGTATGGGAGGTCACCAGCAAACTGGTGAAGGTCAAGCCATTAGCTTGGATGAGGGGTGGAGGCACAGGAAGCCCATTGGGAAGGAGTACCATGGTGTTCCAGAGGCCACTGGAGACTCTGGGTGCTTCTGGTGGGGATGAAGA